AACAATACGTTAAAAGTACAAACAATTTTATAAAGTATTTTTTCTATTATTCGTGTTTTGTTTCACTCTTTTAGAAAGCGCGTGCAAGGCTATCGATGAATTGATTTTAGACTTTCTTCTATTAAAACTGTATAATAAAGATAGAATAGCGTCAGTTGGAATTGTAATGCACATCTCAGCATGTAAATACACACAAAATTGAACTTGCAGTGCCTGTATGATGGACCCATTCAACTCCCATGTTCAAACACACACATTAATCTATATCAGATTTGGTCATTTAAGAAAGTATTAATATTTCCAGGAAATCACCACCAACCTCTTCTCCCACACAGTAAATTACACAGATAAAGTCATTGACCTACACTATCATCTTGATCTTTGAAGTATGTCAAGTAAAGGTTACTCACTTCTTGCTTGTGTAGTGCTCTGTGATTGGACGAAAATTAATTTGAATGCCTAACATAGCAATTCAGTTATGTGTGTCTCATACATACATACAGGTGTGTGCTTGGTTATAACTGCCGGAGTTCAAAATCTCATATTGGTAAGCTGTGAGACGACCATGTAATTTATTTCTTTTGTACATCACAAAAGTTCGCTTAGAAATATATTCGAGCATACTTAAATCTTCTGACAACCAATTTTACTTTGAATTTAAACTAACGGTACAATCTTACTGTAAAACTTTTCGAGAGAAACACGCCCTTTAACTTCTCTAGTTTCCAACTGGCGAAGACAACAGACTTCTGACAAGTGTGATTTACTTCCATCATTGCACCTCCAGTCCCCTCCTTCTTTTTTTTTATTTTATTATTTTATTATTATTATACTTTCAACATCTTTAATATTAAATACCTAAATGTTAAGAGCACTATTTTCTTTTTCGGTTTATTAATGAAAACTTTCACTGTTATTATCGTGTATTAATATTTAAGCTTTAACACATTAAGTGTCTTCTTCTCATTAGCACATTTTACTTTTACATAGATGCTGATTACAAATAAATCATCCCTCATATTTTAAATACTATCCTCAACTTAGGACTACATGTATCCATCGTTTAAGAAATCAGACCAGGTGTTGATAAAACATAGCTGACTCCATCCTTATCTTACAAATAATTCTAGGTTATAGGATAAGGCTGAGTGAATGAACGAAATGCATTATAAACGTAAAGGATATTTCGTAAGTTTACTTTCGATCCCGTTCAACAACGCCACTTGCAATAATAGGTAGCCTGGCGTTGAGCTGTGCTATTAGCTTTACTGCACACACACACATACAGTTAAATAGTAAAACTGGTACTTTCTTATCATGGTCTTCTAATCTTCTTGGGGGGGGGGGCGTTTGTTATGTTCTTATACCCACACAACCGGCGTCTTTGCTCTTGTTATTAAATTAAAATAAATTCGCTTTATTGCATCTCAAGCGATTATATGTAATAAGTATGTAATGGAGAGTTTTGTGCTCTAGAAAAAACGTAGAACAGGTAAACAACACGTCTTCTCCGTTTCAACACAAATATCTCCTCTCCATTGATCAACTTCGTTCATTTAGGAAGTAATCGCTCGTTAAGAAGTTAGCGTCAATGACCCATTCAATGTAAGGCCAATATTTGAGATTCAATTCGTCTCCGATCAATGTCATTCTGTAATATTATAATACCAATACAACGCGTAAGTTAGATTTTTTCCTGAAACACATAATTAGCTTTCTTACGTTTCCTGTCGATACTATATGAGACATTAGACGTTGTTTGCTGTTTCAAAATGAAACGTCAGAAACCCGCATACAACCGAACAGGTTTTGATCAAGGTCAGACGATCTTCTACGTCAGCAGTTACTTAACAAATTAACATGGTACGAATGAGCGAATAGCAGATAACAGTATGCATTAATTTTGAATATACGTTTTGCAAAATATTCCCTGTAATATGAAACCAATAAAAATATCGTAAGATGAAATGCTTAGTGAAAAGAGCTAAAAACTAGTTCTCAAGTTACTTTTTGGCTAGCATATAGCGTTAAACATAATACTATAACAATTTAAGGCTTGTAAGGAATAAATTACTATATGTTTTTTTACGATTAATACAAGGTATACTGTATCTGCATGTGATATACTTATTTGAAGAAACATTTTATACATTTTAGTTTAGATATTCCGCATGGAGGGCAGAGATAAGTTTATGGACTAACAACGCTAAAATCCTAGATTCGATTTCCTGCGGTAGACAGAGCGCAAATTGTAATTCCCTACTAAAAGAACAACAACAACCATCAAGATCTTATGGTTTTGGAAAAAACAAGTGAAGCCTACTACACACGAAGATGAAACTCCAGGAAGACCCCAATAACGTAGTCGTGAGCACTGATATTATATAAAACCAGTACAACATAGATCTGTAGTCGTGAGATGTTCCCATCCCACAGGTTAATGGGACCAACTACCTGTAGCGCCACCTTTTAAACTGCACGTTCTTACAAAATGTCATTTGAAGTAGGTCAACACTCACTTGCAGGGTTTCCGAAAACATACTGTGCACAAGCCTATCTTCGTTAAAGCCCCATCTTACAAGTTTTATCCAGTTTTTCGTCTTTTTATAAGTGTGGGTAACAATGATAATCTCTAAATTCTAATGACAATTTTATCACATTCATGAATGGCTTCTGAAACTTACAAGCTATAAAATTGTATTTCAAGACACCTGTAACAGACTTAGGTTATTCTGCACGTGGATCGCCAGAGTAACCAAATACAGGTTGCTGACTGGCTAGCGGCGTCATGCGGCCACGCCCTTAAGCGAAATACACAGCGTGAAGTAAATACCTTTTTCAGCGGCAGCGTTCCGGTCTTAACCATGCCAAGTAAGATCATGCTGTAGCTAGAAGGACGAGTTGTGGTAGTTGTAACAGAACCGTAATAGACGACAGGTGTTGCCAAGACACTGCTGTTAGAGGGAGTTTCAGTAAGCTGACGCTAGTTTCAATTCTGTTGTTATAACGTTTTTAAATCTCAAGTTATTTCATTTCTCCTTCTATGACCAACTAATTGAATGTAAAACTTAGTACGGTTAATCAAACGCTAAGCTGATAAATCTTGTGAAGTCCTCTCTTTAACTTAAGACTAGGTGGCGTCTCTGCAAAACCGTTACTCACAGAATATGGTGTTTAAAAGATACATTGTTGTTAGAGGTTTTTAGGTAATAAAAAACGATGGATAGCGACGAAACTGCTGAACAGAACTCTAGTCAAAGTGGACTGAAAGCTCGATCTCTTGAAGGGCACGCAGCACTGGCCATGAGTATCAAAGGAGATGAATATATGTGGATTGAAATTCAGGAGAAAACTTTTACGAATTGGGTAAATGAACAACTTCGACCACTGGGATCGACTGTCACGAATCTTAAGACAGATTTTGGCGATGGTCTTAAATTAATTGCTCTCATCGAGGTTTTACAGAAACGGAAACTAAAAAAGATTAAAAGGCCAATAAACCAGCATCAATACTTAGAAAACGTCCAGATCGCTCTTAATGCCATGGCAGCGGATAATATTAAATTGGTGAATATCGGTAAGTTCAATAGAAACATAATTTATCGAATAGGTTGTTAATAAAATATTTAGTGAAGTATTTGACATTACCCTATTATAAATTAATCAGAAGGCAAGAAGTAGCAGTAGAACATCTTTGACAATATTAATATTAATATTACTAATAAAGAGATTCAAATTTGTATTTAATAATAGAGACGTACGTACAGTACTTTGTAGCATCAGTAACACTGGCAAATTGGCCATAGCCAGTTTTAAGTTTGACTATTCTTTATAATTAAATGTTATTTGGATTTATACTAACCCAAGTTAATACTCGACTTTAGAAAATTACAATTTTGATGACTTGATTCAGTAACTTACCTTAAAACTAAAAGTTAAATGTGTTTGAAACATTAACTTTTATTATTTGAAAATTCCACGATATTTTAATGTGTTGTGGAGTTTTCATCGTTAAAATCATAAAAAAAGGCAAATTACGGGCATGTTTTAACGTTATATGTATTGTTACATTGCTTGTTTAATATTTAAAAAAAAATACTACAAATATTCCGTTTTTTTTTATATATTATATCCTCTCTTTACAATCGCTTGGCGTGACGTGGACTAGTTTGAGGGGACAGCGCCATCTTTGAATATTGTTCTTATATTTTAAGTTATCTTCGAAGGCTATACAACATTGTTGATTTCGACTATTCTTTAAATTCAGACCGAATAACATTTTACATTTATTTGAGAAACTTGTATAGCATTTCAAACCGGAAACGTAATAAACATTTTTTTGGTAGCATGACATATGATTTCCACGCTATTTAGTACTCAATTACGCAGTATTAAAAAGAAAGAGAACAATGCAACAAACGAACAAACAAAGGTAGCAACGCCGCTGTTGATATTACCAATAATTTATATAGAGATAATGAAATTACGATAACAGTATATTATATGTGTAATTATAATCCATTACATGTAAAACCTTGAAGTAATAATCCCCGGGATTTCGACATGCGAGATTTTCTGTAAGTTTAAAGCTTAAGCATTAAATTAAAATGTCCTTTCTGGTTTGATTAGTGTCAATCATAAAGCTTCACACTGGGTTCTATCTGTACACTGCCCTACACGGGTATCGAAAGCCGATTTTTAGCGTTGTAAGCCAGCAGACTTACCGTTGAGCCAGGAAGTCTGCAGCTCGTACTAGTAGTAGTAGATTACAAAACGTGTATGTTCGAATTAGTTGCTTCAACAGTTATGTATTTTTTTATTGGACATATTTTCGCAGTCTTCCAGTTATTAATGAATGTTTCATTTTTTCGAAATACTGTTTCCCTGAGTTTTAGACTAAAATAGTAAAGTTAACTGCCATGAAAATAATATACAATTCATTCACTACTCTTAAGACGAATTGGAAAGACGTGATTTCAACAATGCCAGGAATTTCATAATAGTAGGAGATTAGTTTATCAGAACCAAAATCTTGGGAGTATCTACAAGCTTCCTTCCCTAAGGCACTCTGTACACGGAAGAGAGCGTCCCAAGGTCATTGAAAAAATACCCAAAATATTGAGTTCCAATCAAATTACGAAACTCACAAACACTCCATCTTTTATGTTTTTATCTTCATAGCTACATAACTATGGTAAAAATGCAACCAAAAATAGTTTGAAAAATCTAGGTAAATAAGAAATGTTTGTTTATTTATCTAACTTACGTAAGTTCTGGGTAAGACAGCGGGATTTCAATTTTGCGAATCTTTTCGCATTTATTTCATTTTTTTTTTTAACGTACCACGTAGGTGTGTTCTGAAACACACTTCAGGTACTAGTGAAAATGTAAATAAGATGTATTCCACCCAAATCAACTAGGACGAATTGCAAAGATAGTTCACCATCTGTATCTTTAAAGGTTTACTGCTGAATTACGCATAATATATTGTACATTAATAACTTTTCTTTTTCCTTTGCATTTAAGAAATTTGTCTAATTGGCTATTTTGTTAAAACCCCAGTGATATTTATATTTTTATGGACGTGATTAAACGCACAATCGCTTTTTAAATTAACAATATTTACTTATTTTATTAAACCGTTTCCTCTATGGTATACATGACAAAATAAAGTAATACCATCACTTGACCTTCTGAAGGTCGCTCATTAGGTAGAAACCACATATGAAGTTTTTTAATATAAAACGAAAATTATCAAACATTTTGTTTTAACGCTTCTGGCCTGTCCCGATCTTCTATACCAACTTAAACTTTCTCCATCACTATGTAAACACTCGAAATTTAACATTACAGTAAGTCCTCTGAATCATAGGTACATACGAATGCAATTATCATGCTACATCTTAAGCCCGAAATCGTTAATGCAACATTTGATGAATTAATTTAACAAAAGTAATATATTTCAATGTACATTTTAACTTACTCGTTACGATTTCTTTGAACCGGATGCTAGAAGTTGCCGCTAACTAATAGTAACATTAGGCTAAGTTAAATATAGCATTTATTACACAGATTCCGCGTATTTCCCACGAGAACTATCAGAATTTTATGTTACATCTATCACATTGTTTCTCAATAGAAAATTGAGGACATCAACTTCAAAATATGATCAAACACTGTTGCACCAACCTAAAAAGGCGGAACGAAATACTGTTCATGATTACTGCAGACGCGGATTACCGTGACCTTCGCAGGACATTCCAAGCGGTTGTTTTCCGCATGAGATGAGAGCTGAATCGCCTTAAGCCGTGTTGTACCTGTGCTGTGCCGCGTGGCGAAGAAGTACGTGATGTTGGGTGCACTAAAGGCTGTTTGCACGCTCTCTCCCACAAACCACACTTAAACGACAGATTCTTTATAGATAAAAGTTTAAACCTTAATTAAATATAAAGAAGAAGAGTGTACGTATGTGAATGTTCAACATCAAAATAATTTAAACTCACAACACGCGCCATTGAACGGATAAGTTATATTCATTTAAAACTTTTCATAATATTTTTTCTTTTAATCAGCATCAAGTAAATATGATACAATTGTTTTTGAATAGTTAAAATCTTGTTTGTGATGATTACTTTGTTACCTTTTCAGTTGCAACTATAATGTATTAAGGTATTGTGTTAATTATTACAACTTATACCATGCTTAAACGTTTCATTAAAATATTAAGAAAATAAATATTTTACATTTTTTTCTTCATATACAACTTAAGTTTTCTGGTTCGATGTCACTAGATCTTAGTACGCCTGGCGATTTTGGGCCTACGCAACGACATCATTCTCATTGTATTCTGTTAAATCTATTCTATTCAACCATTTGGTCCTTCAAAGCTGCCTTCACACCCAACTATTTTTTGGAAAATGATCTGCCCCCTCCCCTTAAACTCTTCTAACGTGCCGCCCTACACCACGTTTGATGCATATTTATTTTGTAAGCCAGTCAGCGTGTCAGAAAAATAACTGTTATAAAACTGAAGCCTAGCCTTTCCTAAATCTTGAATTTGTGCCCTCTCGTTCTATTGTAAGTCCGCAGACATGCCGCTGTGCCACTGGGGGGCACATTGAAGGGACTTCAAATTTGTTGAGAAATATAGAAACCACTCTGTCACGTGCTTAAATACATTTCAAGTGAGTAAGAGAAATAGATTTCATAGTTTTCTTTCTGAACAGTTAAAAATCAAAACCGAATGAAATTTTAACAACATGCTTTAAAGCAGCTGTTTTCAATCTGCGATTCTCAGATCACTGGCGGTTTTTGGAAAGATTGCATAATTACGGAAAGGAAGTGGCGTCATATTCGAGATGAGAAAAATAAAATGCAGGTGTTCCACGACAAATTGTTTTAGAACCACTGCTCTAAAGGGACTGACTATATTATTTCATTTTGAATATATTTTACCTCAATCATCACCTTATAGATATTGTGCAGAGGAGTATTGCAAGTTATTTTGTGGAATTTAATGACTACTAACATGAATTAGAATGAACGAAGGAATGTTTTCGATATTTAGTTAATCAAACATTAATAAAAGACTGGAAGGAGAATGTGGTTTTTATATTTAATATTGGTCAAAATTCTTGCCTCACAACAGGTATGGCAGATTTTCAAGTGTATATAATGTTCCCCATCACACCGAACATACTCGCCCTTTCAGCCGTGGGGGCGTTATATTGTAACGGTCAATCCCACTATTCGTTGGTAAAAGAGTAGCCCCAGAGTTGGCGGTGGGTGGTGATGACTAGATGCCTTTCTTCTAGTCTTACACTGCTAAATTAGGGACGGCTAGCGCAGATAGCCCTCGTGCAGCTTTGCGCGAAATCCATAACAAAGAACAAAGAAAGTATATAATGTATGTGACTTCTAGAGTGTATGCGGAAGCGTAAGTAAATTTTCCTCGTTTTACTATCCATACACCTTTCCCTGTGTTTATGTGTGTGTGGGGGGGGGGTTTGTCATAGTTCTACTAAAAGGTCTAAGCATAGTAAAAGCTCTCGAAAGTATAACTTTCTCTGTGAGACCCTGTCAACACTGCAGTAATAAATGTATTAATATTATATATATATATATATTTGGAACGATACTATTATAAACGTATATGTAACCGTCATCAGAAGGCAAAATTAAATAGAATCAGGTCAAAAGAACTGTCGTAAAAAATACGAAACAGCAGGCATGTATGCAGTGATAAAAATCATTGTTCAAAAGTTTTTAATTTCCTTGGTACAGATGAAAACATTATTTAAAAATAGAGAGGAAAAAGAAGGAGTTGTGCGTTTTTAAAATGTGAAAAATGGGCCAATGATATAGCTGGTACTTTCAACTTAGAAAAAAACAGTCTTTGTAATATTTTTAATGCACTGACTTCTCTTATAATCGGGTAGTATCTGCAGAATAACTGCAGGATCAACAGAAAATTTGTTGCGGGAGTAACTGAATTCTTTGACTTTTGACTGAGTTTATCAAAAAATGAAACACAGTCAAAATGCAAAAATTAACGTATTTATGGCGGCTTTACTGGAG